TGGATCATGGCGTTGAGGTGTTGCGCTCTGCTTCCCTCACTTTTTTTTCTTGTGAGCACGAGTTAGGAAAAGTGATTTTTGTTTTAGTTTGATGGGCGTCTCGGCCGCCACAGATGTATTAGCTAGCAGTACTGACCAACGTACCTCGTGGACGAAAAGCTTGAAGCTCCGTTCCCGAGGACCTGCTGGATTGTTTTCTTTCAAGTTTTTTTTTTATTGTTATTGATGTATTCGGCGGGAGGGATGTCATCCCACGCCGGCTGTCCTGCACATCGTCAGCGTCGCTGGCGAGGAATGCGGTCGTGAGGTCGGGCGATGGAGATGCCTGGGACCTGCGCAACTGCCTGCAGTCCGGCGCCCTCGCGAGTGCTGGTCGCAACTGGAAGACGTGTCGGCGCTAGCGACGGATCGTCGCGCCGACGGCAACGTTGCTGTTGCGGGGCCGGTACTGAGGTGAAGTCTAGCCGGACAGTGCAGCGGTGTCGACCAGCGGCGGTGTCGTGGCGCAAGAACATTATGGTCGTGCGATATCATTTTTTTGTTAAAGCTTGTGTAGCTAATTTCTGATTTCGGGATATGGTTTGATTTAAGGTTGGGGGAATGTGGGGGTGCTGACACCCCCCTCCTGTAAAGTTGTCTGCGCCGCGTGGCACACGTGTCTCGCCCCAAGGCTTTATTTCGGTGGTGACCACTGCCGGGCGATAGATGGCGTTGTGTTCGCTTTGAGTACCACTGTTGGTAGAGTGGTAGCGCCGGCGGTGGCCCCTGGCGGAAAGCAGGCCTCGGTGGTGGGCAAGAGTTGAGCGATCCTCTTCCACGCGTGGCGGCTGCCGCGAACGGTTGTCTGTAGCGTGGGTCCCCGGTGCTCGGCACCGCGGGCTTTGCGCCGGGGTCCCACGTGGAAAGCCAGGCATTGGCGACGCCGACTTAGGTATGTGTTAGTGTGTTGGGTGTGTTAGTGTGTGTTTATCATGTTATTGTGTGTTTAGTGTGTCACTGCGTTATGTTGTTTGTATGGTAGCGTGTTAATTAAAATTGATGTAACATTCGGCAGACGATATCATCGTCTAAATTAGTTAATAAATGTACGTATGTTGTGTGCTTTGTACCGACTGCGTCTGCTGTGTCCGTTCACTCCAAGAGCGTGGCGAGGGGCTCGTTCGCCTCGCCGAGACCCCACACTGGCGCTCGTTCGTCTCGCCGAGACCCCACAAGTTATGTTGGAGAAGTAGTTGCAGGATCTGCTTTACCACAAGGGAACTTTTCCGGGTCATGTGTCACCGTGCATGAAAATCTTTCCAAAAAAATGTCCCTTTTGATAGAAAGAAAAAAATTCTGAGGACTCATCTCTTGTTTGACACAACTGTAATGAAAACCAGCTGACAGTGAAGTCATGTTAGTTGTATGGCTCATGTTAGATTCTAGTCATTATGACATAGATGTAAGGAAATGGGTGAGGCTAGTAGGGACCAGTCATTTGGATTACATGCTTACTAATTGAGCTGCTACGGTGGCAGTCGTCCTCTTTGTTGGGTACTTAATCATTATCATCGGTCTGACTACACCCACTGCAGATTCCTGTGCTTGGTGCTGTCACATTCTTACCCACAAACTTGTTAATCTTATCTGGCCACCTAACTTTTTGTCTCCCCCTCGTGTGTTTGTCTTCTCTTGGAATTGAGAATTATGTACTTGCAAACAAAATAGTTATGAAAGTTATCATTACTGCTCGTAGGAATGATAATGAGTGTGAAACACTTTTGCCTGCTGGCGTTACGTAGCGCATGATTCTTGAACGAGCAGACCAATAAGCCCTTGCACGTTACGTGAAGGCCTGCTGGTGAAGAAAAAAAGTGTGACGAGCAGTGCTGACCTACGATGGGCGGGGTTCGATCGTGCCCATAGCTCAATTGGTAATTGCATTGAATGCATAATCCAAAGGTTGCAGGCTCTCTCTCTGCTGGCAACAAGTTGTCTTTTTGATCTCTTTACTCTCTTCACATCTATGTCACAGTTACTTTAATACACCTAAAACAGTACGATTAACATTCCTTATACCTTCCATGCCTTTATTATCTGCTGGTTTTCATCAACCCTTAGATAGAAAGAAACTTTTCTATCCGATGTGTTTGTGGACTGGACTAGGTGTCAGCTCTGAAGTCTTGCCTCGTTGTGACTTCCTCAGCCCACTTCATTGCCTGGAGTTGATCGTCCAGGGCTCAGCTAAGTAGCGCCGCCTGCCACTGTTCGTGGAGGCTGTCAGTGAAGGTTGTGTTCTTATTCTTTTACTGCTGTCTGTCGCGAATGTGCGACATACTGAAAAACTTCAAGCAAGCATGTCATGAAATACGTTCTTCATTTAATGCCGGTTGTCAAGTACTCTCCGGGAACGTAGCTTTCACATGAATTATCTAGCACTCTCTCATCTAATGTATATTGAGCTAAAACTAATTGTTCTGTAGCTGATAACTGAGAGTGTAAAGCATGTGCAACAGCTTTCACTTCATTCTTTTTTGCCTGGGTGATGCAACTTCTATCTTCAATAATGTTGTTTATTTGGTGTGTGTGCACCCAAGAGGTGGCACACAACATGATACGCAGTTCTGAAGTATTTGAATGTAAACATTCGACAGATGTCTGTCCGGTTCTTCACAAACGATTGGTTGGAGTTTAAATATTTTCCCAGTTCTAAAGTACGTTTTTTGTAGCAAGGTCCTTGTGTCTGTGGCATTCGGAGAATTCGCGACGTACATAAAAGGCTGCATTAAAGTTGCATTTTAGATAATTTAACTATGGAATCCTTTGAAGGCTACTATTTAAAGCTAGAGAATGAAAACGATTTTTTTGGCAGTTTCATAATTCAGGCATTAAAAAGCCTCTAGATTTTGTCTAGGTATCTTAACAGCAACTGCTGATTCCCTTGATCACTTGCAGAATTTGGCAATATATTACAAGGATACAATAAGTATGCTTTATTAATAAAAATGTTTATTTCTGTAAGAATCGCATTTGGGGCCGCTAGACCACCGCGGGGAAGCACCAGACCTTATGTGAAATGGGCAATGGCTATATGAAGTATGGTTGTCGTGTGGGGAGTTGTATGTGGGCCAAACTGGACACTCGGTCAACAATCGAGTTCAGGTGCATGAATTATCTTTAAAGAATAAAGGAAATGCGCACTTACCTGCGCATTGTATAGCCTGCAGATGTGAGCCTCGGCTTCGTGAGATTAATATGATAGGCAGAAGCAACTGTGCATCAACGCTAGACTTATTCGAGGTGTTTCATATTAAGAAGAGAGGCACGGGTTGCATTAGTGATACGTCTGTTTCACATTACCAACATAAGCTGCAACTTCTTGACACGGGAGTGTGATAAGTGTTTGATGCACGCATGCGCAGAGCGTTGTAATCTGGCTGCTTGTTATTTTGAATAAATAGTTTAGCTAAGCTCAATTTTCCAGCTCCCTCATACTTCTCTTCTCTGATCTGTATTTTCCAAGTTTGCGCTACTTATTAACTTTGTGCAGGCTTATAAGGAATTTTGGCTGTGTAATTGCTGAGCTGCTCCTCGTTGACTTAATTTGACACTTGTGATGGCTTTGATCCTGGCAAGCATATGCATTGTTTAATGGGTGCAAGCTCTTACTAATTTGGTCATATTTGGCCAGAAACTGGCTTATTCAAATAATTCCTGCTGTGTACTGAACACCAAGTGCTGCAAGTATAAAACACATCATATGCACTCCAAAAATAAACATTGCACCATGTCGGGTGAATGTCCTTTGTGGTTTCAGTGCTGGCTCTGCTTTAATGACAGTCTAATAAACATTTCATGTGTACTCTTATGACTTGGGAAGCTACATGCAAGCATTGCTTGACATTGAAGAATTTGCTAATAAATGCTACGTATGATATTCACATGATTCCATCAAAGCATGTGCTTTGTTAGCCGACTTCATTGCTCTATTGTGAATGCAAGAAACCATCACTATTTCTTTAGTGTAGTCGGCATGCCTGGTACAGGTCGACATTAGCGTATGAAACTGGGTAAAATAGTTGATTTTCATAGTCGTGATAGTCTTAGCATTTTCACCCTGTCCATCAATCTTCACGATTCTGAAATCAGCCTCCCCCCCCTCCCCAAAAGAAAGACAAATATTGAGGGTGCACTTGCTGCAGAACTGTTTGTATTTATTCTGTGCTCTGTATTAAACCTGACAGTTGTTAGTGCAGTGCTTGTCCTATATTGCTCTTATTCTTCGTGTGGTACAGTTTTTTTGCATTGCTTTTACCATGCTTATGGTGTCTTTATTTCCAAAAACATGTTCATCCAACTTGTAACACCTGGCTCAAGGCCAGAAAATGCAACACAAAGAGCTACTCTCTTACTGCTCTGCATAAAGGAATCCCTCATAATGCATTGCATTTGCAAATTTTTTTGTTGACTTGGTTCTCAATAGACTTTTAGCTGGAGTGCGACTGCATAGTATGTGTTGTATTTGTAAGAGTTCGCTCGACTTATGTATTTTGCATTTTGCTTAGACTGACAGTTATGTCGATTTGCAGTTTAGGTGGCTGTCATAGTGGAATCAATACATCTGCAAAAGAAATCATTAGCATGTTTTGCCTGCAGTAAATTGACAGTAGAAGGGGGAACGGTGCTCTAAAAATCTCCGGATATTTTTTGGTTGGCTTGCATGAATGGGGGGGGGTTAAATCCGGCTAAAGGACTTTAGATACTTTCGTTTAGGACGGACTTTTGAATAAAGTGCAATGATGGCTGCTATGCTTAAAATTTTCAAAGCGGAACTAGCTACTTTGACATGTTCAGTACGCTGCGATGTTGCGCTGTGCAGCAGTAACCTGTCTGTTTTTTTTTTTCAGACCTCAACTTGCAAGGCCAGTGATAGAGGTCAATGTCAAAATGTTTGAAGGTGTAGTTGCACACCTTTTAAACAAGTATCTAGGGAAATACATCAAAGATCTTGACAGTGAGAATCTCAATCTGGGAATATTTAATGGTGAGTGGCTTTTTAAAAAGTGTTCTTAACCTGTGTACACCTTGTTAGAGGGTACGTGGTGCTGGTCAGCCTTAAAGTGTACAGCATTGACCAGTCCTGATCTATGCCACCTGAGCGAAAAACTGCACAAAGCCAGAAGAAGCCCCAGAGCTGTCTCAGTAGTATATAAAGTGTGCTGCCTTTACCCCACAGCTAAACCAAGTAGCCATTGCCACATATTCGGTTGGAGCAGTTGGTCTTGCACTATCGCTGTGTTGGGTTTTGCAGAAGTTATTTCTTGCAGTGCCCGCTCTTCTTTTATGTTGGTGGTTTCAGAGTTAAAGTTTGTGGGAAACCATGCTTTTACTAAAGAGCAGATTTTTAATGTTCTTAAATACGTGGATGCTTTTCTATTCCATTTGACAAGGCACACTGACCTTACATTTCCAGCAACTGTCTACAATGTTTCAGATGTGTTTATACAGTGTGGGCACTGGCTGATTTTTGTGCATGAGATACTTCTGGATGAGTTGCAAGTTTCTGGATCTTAAACTGAATTTCAGCAGTGATTATGCATGTGGGTCATATTTTCTTTGTGCCTGAAAGTGCTGCTGCCTCTAGATTGTGGCAATTCTGAGGATGTAAAAAGGCGTATTGTGTGGCAGTCTGCAGAGCCTGTGCTCTGGCTTTTTTTTTTTTTTTTCAATCTCTGTTTTGCTTCAAGAAGAACTTCGTCCTTGTGTTTGTGCTGTAGTCAAGACAAGTGTGCAGTATGAGGACAGCGACTTCACTGTTGGCCGGACTGAAGTTTGCATTTGACTGTTTGTGGGCTGCTGAATGGGAATAGATGCATTCGCAGAAAAGTTTTGTGTCATTCCTTGCTCACCTTGCTGCAGTCGATTGTGGTTGCTATAGAGAACGTAAGAGAGTGTCACTAGGAAGAGTGCTCAGGTTGTGCACCATGCACCCAATAAAAGCGCACATCTCCTCTGCAAAAAGCTATAGCATATCGGTCCCACCTATATCGCATGGCTTCAGCTGTTGAAGACAAATGCTTGTAGCACACAATCGGTATGCACAGTTTTTTGCCACTAAGGAAACGTTGCATGGATTCCAAACGACCATGTACTCAAGGGACACTAAAGAGGAAAAATGACTTGGTTTAGATTCATTGACAAACTGGACTCTGAGAACTCTAATGCTATATGTTTCACTGTCATAAGTTCATTATTAGCGGAAAATATCAATGTTGTAGTTTCATTCTGAAATTCTGTGCCCAAATTTTTTCGCTTGCCATAAGAAATTTCAAGATGTATTTGCGGTATTTTCGTGGCATTGGCTCGATTAAATTTCCTGAAACTTCATATGCGAAGTTTATGGCGCCCACAGATTACTATGTATTTCATTTTTATTGATTGGAAGCTAGGTAGGGCCAATAGACACCTTCAAAATTTATGACGTGTAACAATGCTGGCTCAAATGCAGCGCCCCCACGCGGCGCTGATAGTTGTGTTGAGCTGTGCAAGCCTGGCACGGAGGGGGGGGGGCCGTTTTGGAAACAATAAACGATGGTTCGTTCTGGGCAAAGGGCTTAACATGGTCTCCTGTTCTTCGCGAACCTGATGGCCTACTGTTCACGATAGTCACTACCGCCTGGCCATCCATTAATCTACACATGTATCAACTGGCGATGAGGATGAAAGGAAGTTTCATTTAAGTCTTCATTCCCGCACCGCTCTGCCATGTGTTCACCATGCCAAGTTTCGGCAACCTCGAGCCGTTCGAGGGGGGAGGAGACGACTGGCCTTGTTACGTGGACCGGTTCAAAGCATTTTTCCTGGCGAATGATGTCACCCCAGACAAGCGTACTGCCGTGTTCATCAACTGCTGCGGGCAGAAAATGTTTGCTTTGCTCCGCAATTTGGTCAAGCCCACCCAGCCCAGTGACAAGACGCTGGACGAGATTCTTCAAGTTCTTGGAAGCCATTACTGTCCGAAGCCCTCTGCCTTCATGCAGCGTTTTCGTTTCAACTCGCGCGTTCGCGCGGAAGGGAAATCCGTCAGCAATTTCATCGCAGCACTAAAAAGCCTGTCCGAGCACTGCAACTTCGGGGCTGAACTCGAAAACATGCTCTGCGACCGCGTCGTGTGTGGCATAAACAACGTGGATGTCCAGACAAGACTTCTGGAAAAACCGGACCTCACCTTCGACGACACCGTGCAGACCGCCCTGGCAATGAAAGCAGCAAAAAGGGATGCAGGTGAGATAGTGCAAGCGAACACTAGCAGCGCTTTCTCAACTCATCGTGTCTCGTCAGGTTCTGGGGGCGTAACCTGCTACCGCTGCGGGGACCGACATCTTGTATCAAAATGCAAGCATGTGAAGACAATCTGCAATTACTGCCACAAACAAAGTCATTTGGCGAAGGTGTGCAATTCGAGACAAAGAAACAGCCAAGCCCAAAGCAGCAGCCCTACCAAGGCACGTTCGTTCTCGGCTTGCAGTTCACCGCCGTCGAGTAACCTCCATCGTGTTAATACTGTACGCAAGCAGCACGCCGCTACCACTTCATCTTACGAAGTTTTTGACATGTGGCCGGTTGACTACGCCACGCCACCTCCGCCTTTTGCCGTCTCTGTTGACGTTTGCGGCAGGCTGCTCCACATGGAAGTGGACACGGGGGCAGGTGTCTCTCTCATGGCCAAGTCGCGTCTTCTTCAGCTTTTGCCTTCGGTTCCTGTGCAGCCGTCGCAAGTGCTTCTACGTAGCTATTCCGGGGAACTAAAAAAAAGGTTCAGGGCAAAGCTGACGTCAGTGTGAAGTTTCATGGCACGGAGGCCGACCTACCTATTTTTCTTATTGGAGACAGATTGCCCACTCTTCTTGGACGCAACTGGATGTGTGAGCTGGGCATCGGCGTCCCCAACGTTACAGTGAACATCCACACACTTTCCGACGTCAAACACCTAGTCCAAGACTACCGTATGCCGAAGTGTTTGAAGAAGGCCTAGCTACATTCAAGGGTGCTAAAGCTTCTCTACATGTTCATTCAGATGCCCCACCTCAGTTCTTCAAGCCACATTCACTGCCGTACGCCTTGACAGATGGAGTAACTCAAGAAATCCGTAGACTAAGAACAGATTCCATCCTTGTTCCAGTCAACACAGCAAAGGGGGCTGCACCCATTGTTCCTGTGACCTAAAGGGATGGACGCATCAGAATCTGTGGAGACTTTTGTGTCTCTATAAACCCAGTAGCAACAGTGGGACAGTACCCCATTCCAAGGATTGAGGACCTGTGGACTGTGCTTGCTGGAGGTGAGAAATTCACAAAATTGGATTTGCGAGATGCGTACCAGCAAGTTGTCCTTGACAATGCTTCTAGGGAGTACACCACTATTTCGACGCATATGGGGTTATTTCAGTACACCTGGTTGCCTTTTGGTGTCTCATCTGCTCCTGTCATATTTCAGTGCGAGATGGAGAACTTGTTCAAGGGACTGCCCCATGTAGCAGTCTATTTTGACGACATTCTTGTGACTGGCGCAAATGATGCTGAGCACCTTGGCGACCTTCGTGCTGTACTTAGCAAGCTTCAGGAATTTGGCTTTAAACTGAAACTTGGAAAATGCCATTTCTTCGTACCACAAGTTGAGTATCTCGGGCACATCACCAGCAAAGAAGGCCTTTCCCCGAATGTTGACTAGGTAGCAGCCATTCTGCATGCTCCTGTGCCTCAGGATGTCCGGGAACTTCAGAGTTTCTTGGGACTTGTAAACTTCTACAGGTGCTTCTTACCCAATCTTTCGTCACTCCTTCGTCCACTGCACTTGCTTCTTTGTGAAGGGAAGAAGTGGGAGTGGAGACATGAACAGCAAGATGCATTCAATGCCTGCAAGCACTTGGTGACATCAGCTCCAGTTCTTGTGCATTTCAACCCTGCCAGGCCTGTTTGCCTCAGCTGTGACGCATCGCCTTATGGTATAAGTGCAGTTCTGATGCACAAAGATGCTGATGGGGGGAACATCCCATTGCTTTAGCCTCGAGGAGCTTGTCAAAAGCAGAACAAAACTACAGTCAATTCCACAAGGAGGCACTGGCTTTGGTGTTTGGTGTGGATCGGTTCCACCAGCACTTGTGGGGCATCTCATTCGAAGCACACACTGACCACAAGCCATTTCTTGGACTGCTGGGTGCCAACAAGCCCATTCCCGTGTAAGCTTCGCCTCGAGTGGTCAGGTGGGCTCTGAAGCTTTCTGCTTACAAATACGAACTTGTATACAAGCCTGGCAAAGAGCTCGGCCACGCTGATGCTCTTAGTAGACTGCCTCTCCCAACTGACACTACTGAATTACCACGACCTGCTGAAATCTTCTTGCTAGAGGAGGCATATCCGAGATTCCTTTCACCAGGTGTTGTGACCCAAGCCACATGAAATGACCCAGTTCTGGACCATGTTGTTCTTGCTGTTCTGAAAGGAGAAAGCCTCCCAGTAGGACCAGAGTGGAACCCTTTCAATACCAGAAGCTCAGAACTGGATCTTCATGAGGGTTGCCTACTATGGGGATCAAGGGTAGTGATCCCAAAGTCATTGCAGGCCCAAGTTATTGGTGTTCTTCATGTCAGCCACCCCGGTATCGAGAAGAGCAAGATGATTGCCAGGAGCCATGTTTGGTGGCCAGGCATTGACAATGGCATTGCCAACAGCGTGAAGAGCTGCGCTACGTGCCAGACTGAACATTGAGCTGCACAGCCGGTTCAGCAGATGCCGTGGCCTTTTCCATAGCGACCCTGGTCAAGGCTTCACATTGATTTTGGGGGACCATTCCTAGGTCACACATTCTTGGTTATTGTGGATGCGTTCTCAAAGTGGATAGAAATCTTTCCTGTGTCTTCCACATCTGCAGAAGCTACCATTTCTGCATTGAGAATTGCATTCGCCCAGCATGACCTGCCTGATGTCATAGTTTCCGACGGTCCTGCCTTCACCAGTGCCCAGTACCTTAAGTTGTTAACTCGAA